ATATATATATATCATGGAAACAGCTGCACCAATCAACATGAAATTTGGCTGGAATGTGTCCGACCTACACTGCAGCAGCCAAAGGTTTTATGATAGACCCCATGAGGAGGGGCTCCATCTAAAAAGGGGTCTGGACATGCAAAAATTCTTATAACTCAAAAACAATTCAACACAGGAGCTTCATATTTATTTTTTATTGTTTAGCTCTGATCAAGGGCTATCCATCAGGCCCACCAATGAGTCCCCTTACCCAAAACAATAAATCTGTTCTGGTGAGTTCTGGTGCACTAGTGCTTTTCATACGTGTGGGGGTCATATATTCAGTTGGCCTCAGACCACATCACAAAAATGAATCAGTTGGAGATCTACTGATAATTCTCCAAATGTTTGATTAATACAAATGTAATGATTTATGAGATATTTAGCTAATAAACATGTAATGTTGACCATATTAGTTAATGGCAATGTTTTAAAGACAGATGTCACACAACTACTTAGTACACAGCATTTGGAATAACTCTAAGCTACTACCATAACTAATGCTAGTAAAAACATATGCTGCTTTTGTGTTGGCTAACTTGAGTTGGCTGTAATGGCCATTCTGTAATGGGTTGACACCAAAAGTTAGTCGAATAAAGTTGTGCACCCAATGATTTCATTCAGAGCCTTACTAAAATCCTTCCAGTGGTTCACCAGACATTTTTCAACAAATGAGCAGAAAAACGTTACTGCTTTTTGAATATTCTGGAATGATGAGGTGAACATCAGATAGCAGACTTTCTGCTCAGGCTTTGGGGCCACTGGAGCAGGAGGAAAAGGAGCAGGGAGCGTAGGAGAGCTCTGCTGTGCATCACTGACATTAAAGAAACCATTTTGGGTAAGAAGCCTCCTCTTGATGTGAGAACAACACATCCACATGAATGCTGGGATGTGAGGTGTCAGAGAGGAGGGCCTCCAGGACTGCCATGGCTCATTCATGCCACTGGCCATTTTGGTGGTCCTGAATATTACCTCTGTGTGTGTGTGTGTGTGTGTGTGTGTGTGTGTGTGTGTGTGTGTGTGTGTGT